AAAAAAAAAAAAAAAAAAAAAAAAAAAAAAAAAAAAAAAAAAAGCCCGGATTCTGACTGCTAAGGCTAAGCGCAGTCCTGGCCTGAAGTCAGCTTTTTTTTTGGGGGGGGAGGATCCTTGCCTTTTTTTTGACCCGTTTGGTTTTTCCAGGTGACCCCCCCACCCTCTGCCCAACTGGCGTAGGCATGCGTTAGCGCAGCGTTAACGCGTCACACCGGTGGCACAATAGCACTGCGGTTTTTGCTGTGCTGGTGCGTCGCCACTATACCTGATGGAGCTGATCGGGGGCTTCGCCTTTCGGTCGTTGATACGGAGCGAGCGCAGGGTAATCCTGGGGCAGCACTGGAGCAGCATGTCGTATTGTTTGGTTCTGAAGATTGAAGCTGCTGAAGCTGATTTGCGGTCACTCTTCTGTGTCGGTTGCTTGTGTTTCAATGACACCAGTTCCGTTTGGTCCTGAATACCCAAGTTGGTGTGGCGGCTTTGCGGGTGCTTTCCTTCGGTTTGATGGCTGGTTTCTTATTGTGTGGCCAGCGGGGATCATCCGAGATGTTGGGCTTGATGCTTCCCCCCCATTGAGCCTGCCATCCTAGACGGTTTTCGCTCATCTGAAGTATTGACCACGTTGAATTTTCCTAAATTAGATTAGGAATTGACAAGTCTCTGCATAGAAGGAAATTTTCTGCAATCTAGAACCCTATAGGCCCTATACTAACGTATACAGTTGAAATTTTCGAGTGCAAATTTCTTATTAGTTCCAATCTTTTAGTCCATCCGACTTCATCGTACTTCATCCGGTGAAAATTGGGTCTGACTCACCTAATTAGGGTTTTCACGACTGTTGTGATTAGAATTTATCATTGTGTGATTAGTGGGCATCATCCGAGATGTTGGGCTAGATGCTTCCTCCCCCATCGAGCCTACCATCTAGGACGGTCTTCGCTATACTGACATGTACAGTTGAAATTTTCGTGTGCAAATTTCTTATTAGTTCCAGTCTTTTAGTCCATCGTACTTCATCCTTCAATTTTATTGGTGGATCCCTATAAATTCTCATAATTGCCGGTGGTTTGGGAAATTAGGGTTGGTTGAAGCTTTCTTCCTGGTCGGTGAAAATGGGCTCACCTAATTAGGGTTGTCACAACTGTTGTGATTAGAATTTCTGGCAACAGGCAACAATTAGGACTGGAAAGCCCATCTACATCAGTCAGTTGTCTGATCACTTTCAGTCACATGGAATGTCTTCTAATATGAGGGACGCTGGACCCGGTTTCCAGCAGGTGTTGCTCCCCACCAATAGATGGAGCCTTCAACTGTGGAGCCACTTAGGGGGGCTGCTCATATCACCTCCCTAAGTGGTGGCCATGACTCAAAGTTCGAAAAAAAAAAAAAAACAACAACAACAACAACAACAACAACTCATTGTGTGATCAGTGGGCATCATCCGAGATGTTGGGCTTGATGCTTCCTCCCCCATCGAGCCTGCCATCCTGGACAGTCTTCGCTTTTGCTCATCTAAGTTTGACCACGTTGCATTTCCTGATTTAGATTATAAACTGAAAAGCCTCTGCATAGAAGGGATTTTGTAATCTATAAGCCCATAGGCCCAATAGAAAGGTGTAGAGTTGAAATTTTTGTGATTGTGTTTGTTAATTAGGTATTTAGGGAAGGTATAGGTTGGAATTGTTGTGACTGTTTTTGTTAGTTAGATATTAAGGGTTGATCAGTGCGAATTCCTTACTATTTTCATTTCTTAGGGATAACTTAGATTTTGATGATAATTTTCGTTGACTTTTTGAGTTGTTGGGGCTGTGGAGTTGGTTGTGGGGCCAAATCTTGTGGTGCTCTCTATGTGCTTGGCCGGTGATGCCTTGCCCACTGAGGGCCCCACCTAATTTTGTAAGGGACGCCGGGCCCGGTTCCCGGCTTTTATAAAGACATTGTTCCGTGCAAAAAAAAAAAGTAAATTTTGTGGGGCCAAATCTTGTGGTGCTCTCTATGTGCTTGGCCGGTGATGCCTTGCCCACCGAGGGCCCCACCTAATTTTGTCAGGGACGCCCGGCCCGGTTCCCGGCTTTTATAAAGATATTGTTCCGTGCAAAAAAAAAAAAAGTAAATATCTTTTATGGCTTTGTAAGTCTTTTTTTTTCCTTTTTTCCAGGAACCAGCTTTATTAAATCAGTTGTCATTGTCCAGTATCTGACGCCAAGTATCCTGTCTCTGCCCCCAGCCGATCCCATACTTGATATGGATTATCAATCGGAGGTGTGAACATCTTTTATGGCTTTGTGTATCATTTAGCTTCATCCCTGCAGGCCATGGTTATTGATGTGAGGGACGCTGGGCCCGATTCCAAGCTTGTGACGATATAATATACCCCCCTTTTTTTGGTAAAAATATTAATAATAATTATAATAATAATAAAACAATAATAATAATAATAATCAGGGTTACCAGCCCGTACGTAGGGAGGCCCCCGGGCAGACCTCCGTACGTACGGGCGTTCGGGGTTCCGTACCCGAACCTGACGGCGTTCGGCCCCCGCCAAAAATTATTTTGGGCCCTAAATATATATATATATATATATATATATATTTTCTGAATTGTTTTTTGTCAGTTCTCTATGACGTGAGGTACATGCCTATAAATTTTCAAGTCATTTGGCTCGGCCAAATAAAAATTAAAAATCGCCAAAGATGGCGGTGTCAAAACGTGCTTGCCCACGTTTTTTTTCACTTTTCACTTTTTGTTTTCACTCTAGTTCGGGTCTAAACAATTTTATTATTTTTTGAAACTTTTTTAGTGTGTTTTGCATTATGTGAAGTACACATATGTAAATTTTCAGCGCATTTAGCTATTCCAAAAAAAAATGAAAAATCGCCAAAGATGGCGGTGTCGAAAACGTGCTCGCGAACTCACTAAATTTATTTATTTATTTTTGTTATTTTTATTATTAGTATTTATTTTTCGTATTTTATTTTTATTTCAAATTTGGCAAGGAATTTGGATGTAATGCTCAGGCAAATCTTGTTTAGTTTATTTTTCTTCATAACATATCTTTTTTTCAGATGTTTTTGATTTTTTTTTTTTTTTTTTNTGATAGAGCAAGCGAACAAACATCGTCGCCCTTCACAGTTCCAAGTAGGCGACTTAGTCTGGGTTAGTTCCAAAGAGTTTGCGCCTGAGGAGAACTTATCGCAGAAGTTACTGCCCACATATAGAGGACCGTGGCCTGTTCTAGAGGTCAAGGGCGGCGAAGATAGACCGTCCTATACCATAGAGCTACCAGCACACCTCCACACTTACCCAGTTTTCCATGCGTCAAAGTTGTTACTTTGTCAGACCAGTGACCAGTTTCCATCCCGTAGATCAATGATCCCACCGAATATGGATGGAAGATACGACATAGATGGTATAGTGGCTGAAGATGTTTTCGGAACTGGAGGTAGGGGTCGTCCGCAAAAACAGTACAAGGTTCATTTCAGTTATCAAGAACCGGAAGACGACCGCTGGTTTACAAGATCCGAACTTCTAGAGACAGCTCCCGATATAGTTCGGGCCTATGAGAGATAGCAGAAGGGTAAAGGTCCTGCCTTGGACTGAAATTTTCTCGGAGGACCTCGAATTTAGGCCGGCGGACACATCTAGATGTGTATAAGAGACAGGATTGAGTGGGGGCTAGAGGAGGCGGACAACGGTGTGGGCCAGGGGAGATCCTACGCTGCTGTCGCGGCCGGAGGGAGGCCGCAAGGAGGAAGAGGCCAGGGCCAAGGGGGCCGGGCCTCAGGGAGCCGGTTTCAGGGCAATCAGGGGGTTGGCGGCAGAGGAGGAAACCGCCAAGCGGGAGGCAGGGGTCAAGGTCCCTCGCAAAACAGTCCTAGGAATAGGTCTCCCTATAGAGTAGGAGGATGGCACCCAGGGCTACCTCAGGGTAGGCCTAGGGAATCCTTGGGTCTGGACCAGGACTTATGGCAAAAACGGCGTTAAGCCAGAAGATAGCAAGATCGCAGCGATTAGAGATTGTCCCACGCCACGTACGCTGACAGAGTTGCGCTCGTTCCTTGGCCTAGCTAACTACTATAGGAAGTTCGTGAGGAACTTCTCCACCATCGCTGCGCCCCTTCGCAGATTGCT